ATTGCCTATGTAGCCACATCAGCTGCTTCCAGTCAAGCTACTATATACAGTAAATAAACCCGCCGTCAATATTGAGCATCAGTGCTGTTGCTTCTTGCTGTGAGGTAGACTGCTTTTTTCCTTAGATGTGCTAGTAAATAGATCTGAATAGCACCTTTTTCAATCAATAATACTCGCGTGTATGTTACTTTCTGCTTTTATTATTCTTATTGTGAGTTTTCTCAATGCATGTGTGTTAAGTTTTTCTCTGAGGGGAAAATTTGTGTATGTGTGCTCTGTAACCCTACACTGAGGTGCTCTGACAGATCTCGCATCCACAGTTCTGATCTTGACCCATTTCAGACCATAACTAAGATGTGTTCTCCAGTTGAGCACTGGGCACAGAGTGCAAGTTTTTTTTTTTTTTTTTTTATGCATGCATTTGTGTGTAAAGGGTAATGTGTTTGTGTGTGCGTATGCTCGTGGTTTGACTTGCTTAGCTCAGTCCCACGCACTGTGGTCAGAATGGTTAGTATTTTTTTTTCTGTAGGCCGAGGAAGTGTGTATATTGTTCCCACGCTATGAAGAGTTCAGGGTCCCGTGCTCCAGACAGGGGGCACTCGCGGCCTCTGCACTCAGCTCTGACCCAGGCAGCACGGGAATGTTGGAAAAACGCTTTATGATACCAAGATGTTTGTAAACGGACAGCATGGTTAAGTAAACTTCAGTGAACTGTGTTTGCCATGTGAAACCGAAATCTCTATTTGGTTCAATTCTGTCAAACTTTTTATAGTTTTTTTTTTTATCCCAATTTGTTTTATGCCTTAAAGTCTTTGTTTATTCCAAACCTTTCTTTCTACCATGAAACAAAAAATGTGATGTTCAGCAGAATGTTTCTCTACAATGAGATTTTGATATAGTTTAAAATATAATTTATTCCTGTGATGGCAAAGATGAATTTTCAGCAGCCATTACTCCAGTCTTCAGTGTCACATGGTCCTCCATAAATCATTGTAAAATTCTGATTTGGTGCTCAAGAAACATTTGTTATTATTATCAATGTTGAAAACAGTTGTGCTGCTTAATATTTTTGTGGAAACTGTGATACTTTTTTCCACGAATTCCACGGATTCATTTCCACGGAAAAAGAAAAACACCAGCATTTACTTGTTTGCTAGTTTTTATGTGAATAATGACCAATATTTTGATCTGTCCCTCACACAAAGCTATTATGTTTAGTAGGCTTGCTGCGATAGTCTGTTTTACCGGTGTTACACTGTGTTCAGCCGCACACCGATTACATCACTTGCCCATCGTGGCACCACCCCCCGCCAGCGTTTAGATATTTTTTTATAGTAATAATAATAAAGTTCAGTTAGAGAACAGACACTACAATTAAAGAATGAACGCGTCTGCTCTATTCGGCTTATTCTTTTCAGCCGAACAAGAGTCGCAGGCACAGATCAGCAGCAGGAGTCAGATATCATTTGTCATGTGATAAGAGTGAGACGAGCCAGCTAGTGTAACGTATAGTAGTGGCGAGCGTTTTTTTTTTTTACTGGGTATGCTGGGTGGTGCGTTAAATGTAAAAAATACACCTGGTGCAGATGGTTTATTATAAGAGACGCTCGTGTTCACTCTGTTCAGTTGCTTACTCTCATGACACATAGCAACACAGCTAAAGTATTCCTAATATGTTTGACCCTTTATTGAAAGTAGCCTAAATTTACCTGTTGATGCCTTCTCAAGCACCATTAAAAGCTGTTGAGTTGTGTTTGAGTTGAGTCAGGCGCAACGCGCAAAAGGGGCGTTTGCAAAATATGCTGTATTTTTGTAATTCTGCTAGGTGTCAGTAGTGTCGCAGAAACTACATGCTTCAACTTTAAACGGCATCGGCTGAGGACACACATCTAAATCAGAGACGAGTGACGACAAATAAGAAACACCATGGCTGGTGTCAATTTAAATGTATGCCAGAAGTGTTTATTTATTTATTAAGAATTAAAAATAAGTATAATATAATAAATGTTAGTAGCCTGTTATAAATTAAATTAACTATAAGTAAAATCTAATTAGAATAAATGTAAGTATAAGAAAGTATGTAACTAAGTAATCTTTAAAAATAAGTTGAAATAATACAAATTGATGACTTTAACAAACGCATTGACTATCGATTAACAGCCTCGGATAGTTACAGTAGGTCTGCTTATAGTAGGTCTTTCGCTGTTAAGTTTTTGTTAAAAATAAATTTCATTATGGAGAAAACAAAATACTATGAAAATAGTTTCAGTTATGACTTTTTTCACTTTAGTCTAGTTAGTTCTGTATCAAATACAATGTGATTGAAACATTTTTCCTCTTGGGCGAGCCATTCTCGGACAGCTTTCCCTACGCGTGAAATCTCCCATTTTCCAGCAAACCAATGAGAACGCGGGACAATGATGACGATACATAACAACAGAGCGTAGGCGCCAAAGCTGTGGATCTGCTTACCCAAACCCTCCGTAACTGGCAGATTTGAAGAAAATGACAGTCTCAGATAAATAAATGATAGTTACATATGTACTGTCAACATTTTCTCATGTAAGCTTTATGGGACACCTCAAACAAGGGGATTTATAGTAATTTATAGTGTTAATAGTAATCAGCGAGTCCACGAATGGCTTGGGTGTGCAGAGCATTTGGACCGCATATAAGGTGTTCCTTGTATAGTGGTCTACAAGGACACCACTATACAAGTGGTGTATAGTACACAAGTTTAAAATATTTGTTTTTATGCATGTTATTTGGAGCTTGGCATTATAAATCACCATCCACTTGGATTTTATAGAAAAGATCTGCTTGGACTTTGTCTCATGTGATTATAGTGTTCATAGAGTTAAAAAAAACAGCAACGGAATGGCATTAAGGTGATTTAAATGACAATTTTCATTGTTAGGTGAGCGGTCCCTTTAAGAGGCATCTCTCACAGGCACTCACAAGGAAGATGCACGTGATTATGCTCTCAAGGAGGTGTCACTCCACTGTTTACAAAAGCTTCAAAAGGCTCAAGACGAGCTGGAGTGAGAAACTGGTGCATTTGTTGTCGGGCAGCATCTTGAAGAGTCTCAACATGCCAGCCATCTCCAGCCTGAGCCTTTTGTTGCCAAGCGTGCAGAGCTCCTGTTGCTAAAGGAAGTACTTAAATGTGTAGTTATGTGAGATCCCTCCTCGCTGAAGCCAGCCCCCTGCTGCTTCTTCCTGCTCCTTGGCTGAATATGAAGTGTTGCTTGATGGGCTTTTCCCCTCTGACAGTGTCACAAGAGGAGTGACAGATCCGTGGGAGAGCTGACCCACCTCCCAGAGGAAGTGCTGGGAGCCAGGGGTGGCCCATTCAGTGCCCAAAGGCCACTCTCTTCTAATGGAACATGATAAGCTTTTCATGAGGCACTGTGCAGTGCTGCTTTTGTGCGCCCATGTCTCTGTGGGCTCGGTACATCAGTGGCGTCATCGCCTTGCTCTGAGTTCATGGGAACATAAATTGTGTTATTGAGAACCACACCTAGTTAAGGTTACCTTGCATGGCTTTCTTGGCTGGTATGTGTGAAAACAGCAACTAGACCTTGTTAATGACAGTGAATACAGTCAGATAAAATAACTTTGGATTTAATTTAGGATTTTTGTTATACTGATTATAGATGGCCAACATTAAGTATTAAGTTAACGTTGTCATGAAATCTGTTTTGCAGTTGCATGGTGTTGATGAATTGCACCAAGTTCCTCGCCAGATTTTTGTTTTTGATAATCTGTTACACTCTGAGTCTGATCACAGCATCACAATACGGAAGAAAAGATCTGTCACAAATTCTGTATCAACGTGACTTTTAAGAAAGAAAGTTAGTGGTCCATAGCTAAGGATGTGTTCACACTTGGGATGTTTGGTTCAATTAAAGCGAACCCTGGTGCGATTGCTCTGTTAGTGCGGTTCATTTGAATAAGTGTGAACGCTGCCATCCGAAACCCTGGTGTGCACCAAACAAGCGAGCCGAGACCGCTGAAAAGGTGGGTCTCGGTCCGCATCCAAATGAACTGGTGTGGTTCGAATGATATATGAACACAACACGGACCAAAGACGTGTAAACGAACCAAAAACAGGAAGATGAGACCCTAAAAAGGGTGACGCATGTGAGTGTGTTGTATGCATGTATGTATGTATGTATGTATGCATGCATGTGAGGTTTATATGTTGGCAGATATCAGTCTCAGACATCATTGTATGGAGAGTAGCTTGGTATGTGTGGTTTTCATGCTTGTGTTTGTACTGCAGAGGCCACGGGAGGTCATGTCCTTCAGTGATTCAGACTATTTGCATGCTGTTAAAATCTGTTGCAAAGACAGGTTTGGGGAGGATGCTTTTCTTTGTAATAATGTCCAGACAGGGGGTACCGGTAGGTTGTTTGTTGCCTTTGTGTCTTTTGTTTGTGTGTGTGCGCGCGCATATCTCTACACGCTGAGAGGTGCGTGCAGAAGTACAGTACATGCACACTTTCTCAGAAGGCTCACTGCCCTGCGGCACAAGGCTTCAAGTCCCCCATTTCCTGTTTACAGTGTCTGAGGTTTCCTGTTCTCGATGCATCTTCACTGGGTGATCTTGCGATTGTACTCTGGACAAGGCCTGTGTTAAAAATAAAACACCCTTTTTTCATTCTTTCATCAAAAATCTGCTCATTTATGTCTATTTTTTTTTTTAAATGTAATTGATGTTGAAAACAGTTGTGCTGCTGCTGTTTCAGTGGAAACCATAATTTTTATTCATAATTATTTGAAATAGAAATCTTTTGTCACACTATAAATGTTTTTACTGACCTCAAAATTGTTTTTACTGACTTCATTGTATCTTGAATGATGTCTATTTTTTCTTAAAACAGTGAACATTCCAAAATATAACGTGTACTATAATGTATATTCTATATGTGTACGTGCATACAGATTTTTTTCTTGTCTTATGTACGTTTTTTTTCTTCTTCTCTTTTGTACTTTAGGTTTGAAGAGATAGTCAAGAAATTCAAGGTTGAATATCACGCTGGAGGTGCCACTCAGAACTCTGTAAAAGTCGCACAGGTTGGTGCTCAAAGCTACAGCCAGTATTTAATGCATGCAATGCTAGCAACAACAAGGTCATGAATACCCAAGAAATGCATGAACAGATAAAATGTATAGCTTGAATGCAATGTTGCTGCTTTGGATAAAAAAACATCTGCCAAATACATAAATGTAATACATCATGCATTGCTCCCTCAGGTGGACAGGAACAAATGGGTGTACCTAAAATTAAATATTTTTTGGCTGTAAATAATGCATAAGATCACAACAAACACAAAATATATTTTTAGCTATCTGCAATCTACTTCGGTAGATTTGGATGTTTACGTTTCTGTTACTTTTTTCAAAAAAAATTTGGAGTGTTAAATTTTAAGTTCCGTGTTTGTTTATTTATTTATTAAATACAATTTGTGTTCATTGATTTATTTTTATTTAATAAAAAACCACTTTATGTTAGCTACATGCGTTCACACTCGCATATGAGACAGTTAAGATTTATAAGAGCTATTGGTCACTTTGGTTCTGCAGTGACAATAAGTTCAACTAAGTAAACAGAGGCCTATAATAGAAAATTATGAAACATAGGGGTGTAACAATACATTGTTATATCGAGATGTGACTCACCGTTCATGTAAACAATATGATTCATGATATAGAGTTCATTTTATTAAAGGCTCATACGTGGAGTATTTATAAGTATAATTTACCCAAAAATGTAAACTGTCATCATGTGACAGTTTACATGATGACAGCCTCTTTCAAACCTAGATTTTCGTTCAACTTTCAAACACAAATGAAGATATTTATGAAACCTGAGATATTTCTGTCCCTCCATTTTAAAGTCCATTCCTCTAAAACTTAAAAGATCCGAAAAATGTCATGAAGTCATTGTAAAAAGAACAATCGAATGGTCTAATCCAAATCCAAGTCTTCTGAAGAGACACAATTTATGATGAACAGATGACACGCATACTGTAGTAGCCTTAACATAGACATTCAAATGCTTGCATGACGTGCGTAAACAACATGAGTGAGTAAATGCTGAATTAAAATTTTTGGATGAACTATAACCGTTCATCAAAAAAGCCTGCATTGAAACTGCGAGTACTGCATGAGACAAAAAATTTAACTTTACTGAGTTTCAGTGACATTTACTACATAAAACTACTATTATATAATGTTGAATATAATGCGATAGGGTAATATTTGTGGGCCCTGATAATTATAAAATAATAATATTATTATTTTAATAATAATAAAGTAATAACAAATTTTGCTTTAAAATATTGTGATCCTTAGTTCGGTAACACGATTTGTATCGACTCATGAGTGTATCGTTACACCCCTAGACACATGTTTGATATGGGTAAATTTAGTCACTTTTGCTAGCTCTGGTTAATTTCTGGCATGTTTGCCCATACCACTAGGAAGGTACCATAAAACCATCTAATTTATGTGAGAATAATGTCAGGGGTAAGATTTGTGCACAATAATTATTTTACAGCTTAACTTTTAAAAACTTGCTTCATGCTGTGTATTTTTTTTTTTTTTTTTTAAGATTCCATTTTCACTCTAGTTTTGCAGGTTTATATTTGTTACATCAGGCACAGCAATATTTAATGTTGGATGCATCTCCCTGATTTATAGCCCAACAGAGAAACCGATATCTTAAGATCTTTTCAGCCCTTCACTTTTGCTGGCCTAGTTTGCAGCCATTCTTGGGTTAGAGCGTTTCCAGAAAGTCTAAATATTGTTTTTCCCTTTTTCAAGCTCGTTCCTATTATTCCCAAGAAATGATGCTTCAAGTCTGAGTAGGATATTTTATTTGTGTGATATTGTTTATGGGTAACAACAGAAATAATCTGAAGTCCCTGATGGTCCAGTTGGGTGCTGTCACAGCAGAGAATGAGATCTGCTCAAATTTCCTTGTTGCCCTCAGGGCCCAACTAGACTGAGTTTGATTCGTCCAGCACATGTCCAGTACCGCTGTATACTTTTGCAGGTGTCTGCGGACATCAACACTTTTAAGACCTCAGATACAGGAGTTATTTAGATGTATATCATCTAAATAGACATATGGAATTTCCTGATGATCTCCAGATGATGCACAGCATCCAAATCCACAGATGCATTAGGCTGCAGAGGCTTTCACACGCAGTGCGTCTATCACCATGAAATACAGACCTCGGTGTGTGATGAGGTAAGACCGTGGATAATCATTTGGGAATCTGCCAGTGCAAGCAAATGTGATTTCATTACTTTAGTGTCTGACTCCTTGTGTTGTCGGGCACATTTGTTATGACCCGAATGCAGCCCGAAAGGACTTACAGAAATGATTCTTCATATAAGGCTTTCTTTTTCTGCTGTGTTCCAACATTTATTTTGCTTAACAGGATTTGCTGTAAACGTCCTTGTGAGGATGTCTGCACTATCTTCCAGCTCTTCACCTGCAGTTGCAGATAACAGAGTCAGGGCGGTTAAAGTTGTGCCCATTTTAAGCAACGGTAGTTACGAAGGCTCCCAGTGATATGTGGGTTGTTAAGCAGCAGTTTGATCAGACAGCTCTTCAAAGCTGGATCGCTTAAGAAGGGAAGCTTGATGCGGAACCAGGCCTCTGAGATTAACACATGGCAGCACCTGGAACGCCAGGAGCAATGCAACCTGTGTCGATGTCGCTGAAAACGAGAGCTTTCAAATGCAATGACATGGGCTGCCTTGTGTGCGTACATCAAAGCACCCATGTGCAGATGAGGTGCTCCAATCGGAGGCTGTTCTCAGCCTCAGGCACTGCTTGGCAGACGTGGGAGGGAGCATGTTCCGCTCCCAATACCTGACCAAGATAGGTAGACCATTTACACAGGAACAACCAGTCATTGGAGAGGCAGAGCTATCTTGTTCCCTCTGCATCACCTTTTCTCTCTTCTCCCCTGCTTTTCCTGAGACCATGAAATCAAACCGATCACCATTTTTTTTTTGCCTACTTATCTTTTATCCTTTTTCATCCTTTCAGTTGTACAATACAGAAAAACATACACAGCAAAAACACATTCCCCAAAGCATCTTTCTTAAATGCTCAGTCACTCATAGTTCACCTATAAATGAAAAGTCTGTCATCATCATTTACTTGCCTTCATGTATGACTTCTGTGAAAAAGAAAGTTGTAACCCTGGCACTGCCAAGCTTCAAAATGACAAAAAGATTTGTGCAGTATATTCATTGAAAATCAAAACCGGCCTAGATCTCCTTTACAACAGTTGATGAGACAAGTAGAGGCGTTCGTTTTTTTTTTTTTTTTTTTTACAATTACGAATAATTTAGATCTTTTCAGTAAATTGGTTGATTCAGTTCTCAAAACCAGAATATCCAGTTTAAAGGAATAGTTCACCCAAAATGTTTTATTTTTCCATTACTTACTCACCCTGAAGTTGTTCCAAACCTGTATGAATAAAGAATATATAAAGAATATATTTTAAAGAATGCTGGTCACCAGACAGTTGACGGTAACCATTGACTTCCATAGTAGGAAAATAAATACTATGGATGTCAATGGGTGCCGTCAACTGTCTGGTTACCAACATTCCTTAAAATATTTTCTTTTGTGTTCAACAGAAGAATGAAACTCATACAGGTTTGGAACAACGTGGGGATGAGTAAATTATGACAATTTTCATTTTTGGGTGAACTATTCCTTTAAGTCAATGATCACACTGGTTAATACTGATGATGAATCAGCTAGTTATCAGTGATTTACAACAACTACCTTTCAACTGTTTGTCACACAAAGCTATCAAATGGCTTTGGAAAATATAGGAATGAAACTTGAAATTATATTTTTATGATGCTTTTACATCCTATTTGAAAACTTATTGCAACTGCATGGAAAAGAGAAACAAGCACATTCTTCACAATTTTTTTTTTGGTTTTGCACAGAAGAAAGTCAGATGGGTTTGGAACAGCATAAGGGGGAATACATTATGACAGAATATTTATTTTGTGTGAACTATCCCTTTAAGGCATTTCATTCTGTTACCACATACATTCCTCATCCTTCTATAAAGCCTAGGACGTCAATATAAATCTATTAATGGTTCAGCTCTAAGCCTCCCCGGATGGTTCTTTTGATGTGTCTGAATTGGTAAATTTGTGCAGGAGACATATAGTCTTAGTCTGACAGGCACCATTCTGCCCCACAGGATTTTCACAGATGAAGACTCTCACCTGCAGAAAGTAACGATCTTCCATTCTCTTTATATAGCACTGCAAAGAGAACGAACCAGCACTGCTCTACAGCCCCAGACATCAAAGCTGGGGCAGAGAATCACACTCTGCTCCACTGTATATACAATGTTCCCCAAGCATTCTTCTGCACTGTGATCCAAGACTCGGCTCCATTACATGTGCACCCCTGGTGTGGCCCCTTGAGCAACGGAGAGTTTGAGAGGGGAAGAGGCTGACACTTACCAACAGAGAGAGCAGTTGTTAGGTGCTGCCTCCATTGGGAGGTTAAATTACTTCTCTAGAGCGCGGTAGGCCTACAGCTTTGAACAGTTGCCACTTTTAAGCACATGCATATTGTTGCAGGAAGATTATGAGAATCTTAAAGAGGCTGATTGTCTAAAACTGATGTTTTTTTCAGGGCAAATTCTAACATTTTAAGAGTAATTTTGTTGGTGTTTAAGCCAAAACATTTACGTCTTTCCAAAGCTAAATTACTTTCTTTATCCTGTGGAACACAAAAGAACATTCTACGATTTATATATATATATATATATATATATATATATATATATATATATATATATATATATACACAATGGAAGTCAATGGTGACCAAAACTGTGGTTACTAACATTCTTCAAAATGTCTCCTGTTGTGTTCCATAGAAGAAAGTCATACAGGTTTGGAATTACATGAGAGTAAGTAAATGATGACAGAATGTTCATTTTTGTGTGAACAAAAGCAAAAGGATGTCTTTGCTTCTGCAACCTTTTTTTCCCCTCAACTTCTGTCCTTTTTTC